CCACCTCCACCTCCATCACCTCCATCACCTCCACCTCCACCTCCACCACCATCACCTCCACCTCCACCTCCACCTCCACCACCATCTCTACCTCCATCTCTACCTCCACCACCACCTCCACCACCATCTCTACCTCCACCATCACCTCCACCTCCACTTCATCATCATCTTATCTTCACCTCCACCATCAGTACTACTTCTACCACCTTTGCCTCCACCATCACCTCCAACTCCACCACCACCTCTACCTCTACCATCACCTCCACCTCTACCTCCACTATCACCTCCACCTCTATCTCCACCATCACCTCCACCACCACCTCCACCACCATCTCCACCTCCACCTCTACCATGACCTCCACTTCCACCACCATCTCCACCTCCACCACCATCTCCACCTGCACTACCACCTCCACCATCACCTCCACCTCCACCATCACCTCCACCTTCACCACCACCACATCACCACCATCTCTACCTCCACCATCACCTCCAGAATGACCTCCACCTGCACCATCACCTCCACCATCACCTCCTCCACCATCACCTCCACCTCCACTACCATCTCTACCTTCACCATCAGTACCACTTCTACCACCTCCACTTCCATGTCACCTCCCCCTCCACCATCACCTCCACCTCCACTTCCATCACCATCTCATTTGTACTACCACCATCAGTACCATTTCTACTCCCTTCATCCCCACCTCTTTCACCTCCTCTACTGTCACTTCCAATTCCACCATCGCCTCCACCGCCATCTCTCCTTCCACCATCAGTACCATTCCTACCACTTCTTCCACCTCCACCTCCACCACCACCTCCACCGCCATCTCATCTCTACCTCCACCATCAGTACCCCCTTCTGCCACCCTCACCCCATCCCCTCCACCTCCAGCACCACCTTCAGCTTCACCGTCTTTATCTCTATCACCTCCACGACCGGCACCTCTGCCTCCATCACGTCCACCATCACCTCCCCCTTCACCATCACCTCCACCCTCAGTAGCACTTGTACCCCATCACCTCCTCCACCCCCACTACCCCCAGCACGTCCATCAACAGCCTCAGCTCCATCACTCCTGCTTCCAGCGCATCATCTGTGTTTCATCATCTCCTCCACCTTCAGACCTCTGCCCCCCAACATCAACCCCACTCCACCGCCCCACTCTCGCCTCCCTCTACATCACCACCAGCACTTGCCCCATCACACCACCCTTGCCTCCTTGTTCTCACCTCTGGCACATCATCCCCACCAACACCTGCATCACCATCTCCTCCTTCATCCTCCTCCACCCACTGGTCCCACAGGGGACGCTGTGGTCCAAAGGCGATCAATGCTGCTCCCCATGACCAGGGGCTCCCAGCCTGAGGTGAAAGTTTGGGAACGGCCCCAGATACAGACCGTCCCCACCAACCATGACTGATTCCACCACCTTCGCCTCCACCTCCATCACCTCCTCCACCATCTCCTCCAATTCCACCATCACCACCTTCACCATCACTCCATCTGCACCATCATCATCTGAGCAGAAGCCAGCCGGCCTGACTCCTGGGACTGCCGGGAACATCAGACTTCTCTGGGACGCTGGTGAGCCACCTCTTTCAACCCTCAACCATCCCATCTGTGACCTTGGGACAGTAACAAGGCTTCCTTCAAGCAATCTCCAGTGACCATCCGCTGCCCCAGCGCCCACGGCCCCCATCTTCCTCAGTGTGAACACCGATGCCTGACCCCTCCCTGCCCTGCGCGTGCCACAGGCCCCCTCTGTCCTCTTCTCCCTCCCCTCCCCTCGCTCACTCCCCTCCACCACGCGGCTCTCCTCCAGGCCCTGCCAACCTCGGGGCCTTGGCTCTGGCTGTGCCTGTGCCTGGGCTGCCCTTCCCCAAAACTGCTTCACATGTCCCTCCTTCTCCTCCTTCCGGTTTTTGCTCCAACATCTTCTCCCTGCGGCCCACCATGGCCCCTTACATTAAAACCACGCCTTCTCCTCATCCTTCTCTTTCCCTCTTTCACATGGACAAACCCACTCTCTCCAGGGCCCCAGTGAGTGACGTTTGGGTGCTGACAACATGCCCATTCTCTCTCTCTCCACCTCCTCCCTGACTGGGGGTCCAAGGATCTGATTCTAAGAACTAATGATTGCAGGGTGCCCGCGCCCCGTTCTGCTTGCCCAGTTAAAGTCTTTTTGGGATCCAGCGATAGGGGCGGTCAGCAGCTGGCTCTTGGGGTCCCAGAAGCTGAAGGAGGAGGCGAAAGAGGCTCCAGAAGAGAGACCTCACCCCCAAACCCGAGCCCAGCGAAGGGTTAATGGGGAACGTGGGGCAGGGTCTGGCTTCTCAGCCCGAGTGGCGGTGCCTCGGCCTGCCTAGCGGTCTCCAGCACCACTCCAGCCATTATATTTTGTTGCTTCCTGGAGTGCAGGAGGGCTGAGGAAATGTCCACGGAGGTGCTCTGGGCGGGGTGGAGCTCCCTTCTCCCAGCCCTGGGCCGGCCGGGCTGCCAGGCCGCAGTTCGCGCTGTGACCGGCAGAGGGCAGCCGCCACCTCCCCAACCAGGGGCAGAAAGAAGGGGATGGGACCTCTTTGGTCTAGAGGGTGGTGGTAAGGTGAGTTGAGGGGAACCCTCGGTCCGGGAGGGATGCCCCGGACACGCTCTCTTGCCATTCTGCTTCCTGGCTCTTTCTACAACATTACTGGGGTCAGAACACACTCACCTCCCACCCAGATGCCTCCAGGGCCACAGGGGCAGGCAGTCCCGCTGCCTGCTGTTGGGCCACTGAGCCTTAGTTTGCTCAACTGTAAAATGGGCTCAGTCATGGTGCCTGCTCTGCTGGGCCATGGGTAGGCTTAGCCAGAAAAGCTCTCAGTACTTGAGGCAGTGGGATGTGGCTCCTCGGTTCATCTCTGGGGTCCCTGGGAGGCTCTGTGCTCTGGGCTCGATTTTTGATTTGCATTTGTGGAGCAGCCACGAGGTTACTCCTTCTCTCAAGGCAGGACTTCAGGCCACCAGAGAGGGGAGAGAAGTGACTTCAGAAGTAGGGAGCTGAACTGGCCCAGCCAGAGAACTCCTACACATCCCTCAAGGCCCAACAGCAATGGCCCTGCCCCCAGGAACCCTTGCTCTACCCCCAGCAGAGCCCTGGCTCTCTCCTCTGAGACCTCCTTTCCTTAGCCACTGTCCCTCCCTCTGGTCTAGTCCTGACCTTACAGGTTTGGGGGTACCTCAAGGGACTGGGGATGCCTCACAGGACTAACACACCCCTGGGTTATCCCCTGGACAGGTGGCAGGCCACTGAGGGGACTCAGCCCAGACTTGAAGATTCCTCTGGGGGAGACCGAGGCAGCCGCTGCCCTGATGGGCCAGGCAGGGCAGTGGACTCCGGGCACCCCAAGTAGGGAGCACCCACCCACAGACTATGAAGGAGCCGCGGGGCCCAGATCAGTCACCCTCAGAGGATCAGACAGAATCTTGGCCAAAAGACACCCTCCCCTTGCCCTCCTCTTCCTCCATCCTCTTTCCTGAGAGCCGGTGGGTGTAGTTTCCTGGGTAATCAAGGGTGCTGAAGAGTTACTTGGGGACCATGGCACCTAGGTGTCGAGATGGGCACACCTGCACCCCATGCACCCAGGCACAGCAGCCTTTCTGCTGGGGTCACCACACTTGCACTGTGACCCTTGCACACACCCCATGCTGTCACACTCAGCCCCCACACTGTGATACCCAACCCCCACACTGTCACACACAGCCCCATGCTGTCACACTCAGCCCCCACAGTCACACTCAGCCCTCACACTGTCACACTCAGCCCCCACACTGACACACTCAGCCCCACACTGTCACACTTAGCCCCATGTTGTCACACTCAGCCCCCAGTCACACCCAACCCCCACGACACACTCACTCAGCCCCCACACTGACACACTCAGCCCCCAC